AGTGACCTTCAATGGCTTGTCCCCGCGGCGTCCGAGAAAAGCATGGCTTAGAAATACAAGGTCGCTACAGGAGGCTGTGTTTCCATTTTTGTTACATGTCATCTCTTTCACTGCACTCCAGACATGTCTTCAAAACGGACCTCACTTCTGAGTTCACCGATTAACCATGCTGCTGTATACATCTGTTAAGATCCCAAACGGTGACGTGTACCATCTGGTCTTAATAATTTGAGTCCTTAATTAAAGCAACCAGGTCGAAAATGAATAGAATTCAAGATACCTGGTAGCTCCTTCCCCCCCCCGGATTTTACTCCCATATATCATGGTACTTTCCCTGCACTCATCGCGCCCCATTCACCGCAATGCTTGCATGCATACCTGTTACGAAATATATCCCGTATTTTCCTATCATGGAATATCGATTTTCTCCTCTTGCAGTCTGGGCACATCCTTCTACGATGCCTACCGTTCTCCCAGGCAGTGTGGTGGAGAGCACACTACCACAAGTCCTGAATCTCGTCTGCGGAGAGCCCAGATGGCTCTCGGGTGAGTTAGACCGCCTCTGTATTATCCGTCCGTCTAGATTCCGCAGAAGCTGGACATAAGTATTGGTAACTGTGAGAGTTTGTCAACTTTGATACCTGACAAGAAAAGATCTCGAATACATTGAACGCAAAAGACCCGCCGAATGACCTATTTTTTAATCTCCATCTGTGTTTTCAATCTAAATTATGATTTTTAAGAGTAACGTTCTCTTTGTTGTGCCGAACATAATAATCCATCTTTCATGAGCATTGGTTTTCTTAGGTTAGCGTTGCATCGGTTTAGATGATAGCTAGCCTTAATACAGGGGATGTAACTTCCTGGAACTTATTTCCTAATTGGAGGGATTAGACGTCATGTAAGAGAGATGCTCAACAAATTGGGAGGATGTTGCTTCGCTTAAGTCTTAGGACGAAAGAAGCAGCCAGTGGTCGGTAATTACACCGACATATGTAATAGGGAGACTGCGATGATCCTGTAGGGTTTATAAACTTCTGTAGTGGTCAAGGATGCACGATCTACTATAAACACAACACCAAGAATGTTCCGTCTGATGGAAGAAGACAGTCAGACATTAGGAGCGATTAATGGGGTCCACAAGGCAAGTTGCCACGGATTGATTGCCTGCTTGCATGTCCTAAATACATCCGTCTGGGAGCCTGTGAGCAGCGGCTTCTGGACAATTCAACCGTTCGGTAACGTGCTAGCAGCGGTGTGTTGTGAACGAGTTTGCCATTGTTCGTGTCAGCACGCGGGAGTGCGTGTTGGGCGTCTGATTGGGCAGGTCAGAGGGACAGTCAGGGGGATATAAACACAAGGGACTATGGGCGACAAGGCAGGCTGGCCGATGTGCGCAAGGTGCGCGCTATCTGCACAGGTGACCTTGACTAAACTGAAGTCAAGTCTGGGGCAGCCGTGCTTTAGTGGATTGTCTGTTAGTTAGCGAGCTTGTCGAGGCCATTGGGACGCAGGAGAAAAAGGGAACACAGGAGCAGCCCCTAAGTTAAACCTGGCAGGCATCGTGAGGACACTGGGTCAGCTGCCATACGTCTTCAGTCAGCTAAATCACCACCCCAAATAACAAAAAATTTCGAATCGAACACATGGGCAGACGTGGGTACTAATGATGCTTCTATGAAATCTACAGTTTGAAATACGCGCGCTATCGTTATTCGAGGGGTCTGCTGCCCTCGCAGCATTTAACAACAGCACTCAACAAGGACGATGGAATAGCGTTCGGGTTTCAAAATTCAGAGGGAACACTTCGGTCTGGTTGTTGACTTCCGCGGTAGGTTGTGTTTTAGGCGACTAACAGGGCCTCTAAATCCCTTATGGGGCTGTTTGACCATGTGAAAGATACAGAACCGACCAAGCTTGGCAATATCCAGTCCCTTGGTCAGATTTCAAGGAATTGCAACGAAGTCATTATCCTTTCAAAAAATGAGTAGACTATTCATTTCCCTTATCTGTTCCGGTATTACATACACTTTTTAGCAGAATTCATTTTTTGCACCTAGAATGGCATATGGTGAGGATGAATTGGAGGACATCCCTGGGTAAGCTCAACCGTTCCCATAGAATATAAAGTTGCATAACCTCATCAACGATTGATTTCAGAAATCAAGCGGTTTAACATTTTCTGGTGAGGGAGCCCGGTACGGAATAATTGAAAGTTTGTACTTGTATGACTTGGAGTCGCTACTCCCACCCCCCCCCACTTCGAATATTTGTTCAGCGCAGAAAACTACATACAGTAGTCGCCGGTTATTAGGCCACGGTTAATAAGCCCAGCCGCGTATTAAGCCCAAGTCAGCTTTGGACGGAATTCTACATAGCAAAATCCGCCGGCTACAAAGCCCAGTTTGCCAACAGGATAGAGT